ATTTAAAGAAACCTGATTTTTGAATTTTGAAACTTGTTTTTGGATTTTTGAAATGGGTGAAAGTAAATATCTGATTTGTGTATTGTTCCCATATCAAAATTCATCCAACCCAAATTCCATCAAATCCAACAATAAAATCCAACCTAAATTCCATCAAACCCAAACCAACTATCAAAATCCAACCCAAACTCCATCAAACCCAAATCCAATATCAAAATCCAACCCAATTCATCAAACCCTAATCCAAATCCAATATCAAAATCAAACCCAAATTCCATCAAACATAAGTCACTATCAAAAATCTAAACCAATTTCCATCGTACACTAATCCAACAATCAAAATCCAATCCAATTCCATCAAACCCAAATTCCAACGAAACCAAATCCAGCAATCAAAACCAAACCCAAATTCCATCGAACCCATATCCAACAATCAAAATCCAACCCAAATTACACCAAAACCAAATCAAACAACAAAAACCCAACCAAATTTCATCAAACCCAAATCTAACCAAAATTTCATGAGACCCAAACCTAACCGAATTCATCAAATCCAAATCTAAATCCAATATCCAAATCCAACTATAAAAATCCAACCAAATTCCATCAAACCCAAACCAACTATCAAAATCTAGCCCAAATTCCACCAATTCCAATCCCAAATCCAAATCCAATATCAAAATCAAATCAAATTCAAATTCCATCAAACCCATATCCAACCATCAAAATTCAACCCAAATTCCACTGAACCCAAATCCCACAACTAAACCCAACCCAAATTCCATGAGACCCAAACCTAACCCAATTCATCAAACTCAATTCTAAATCCAACACATAAAACCAGATTTTTTAAATTAACATTTCAAAAGTCAAATTTGTAGTTTATTTTTACAAAAATCAGAATATAATTAAACATTTAAATATTAATAATAATATTTTAAAACTTATACCTAAGCCCTAATTTTATCTCATTCCTTCCTCTTTCAACATCTCTATCCTCTCTCTCCCTCCTCTCTCTACGGCGCCGACGTCGGCGCCACACCACATACTCCATAGTGACACGAGCGACGGTGACGTAATCCCGTGTAAGGAGATCTGAGAGAGGCGGGTGGTTTTCAACAGGGCGATGATGAATCTGCTTGGGGGTATGGTGGCGTTGATTTTTTTTGTAGTGGTAGTAGTGATGGTTTGGGGTGGTTTTGGTGTTTGTGCAGGTAGAGGTGCGACGGTGATGTTGGAGGCAGAGTTCGACACTTCCGAGCACTGCTGCGAACTCACGGCGAAACCTGGTTGCTAGAAGTCGCGACGACATCACGATTGGGTTGTGGTGGTGGTGTTTGGGTGGCTGTGGTCTGCCTGCCTTGGCAAGGATCTACAGCTCCACGATTTGATGTGGTTTTTGGCTGTGTTTTCAGTTGGTGGTGGATGGGAGCTGTGGTCGTGATGGTGCTCATGGTGGTGGTGTTTGGGTGGCTGTCGCTTTGTTGGATTTAACGGTGGCGGAGGTTCCGATCAATAGGGCCGATCGTCGCGACGTTATAAAAATTAAGTTTTTCGTTTCTCTTGTCTTTTTTTGATTTTGTGGTGGCCGAATGGATGATGATTTGTAGTATATTGAAAGTGCAAATGTGGTGGCGAATTTTGGGGGATTTTGTTGGTGGGTGGTGCGGTGCGGTGCGCTCCAGATCTGTGCGACGTGCGATAGTAGATCTGTGTGGTATGTGGTGGTATGCAGTGATGGTGGTAATGTTGGCTATGATATTCGAGACGATCTTTTTGTTGCCGGAACGTGGTGTTGATGGTTCTAGTGACGGTGGTTTAGGCTGTTGCAACGGTGTAGTGGCGGTCACAAGTGTTGGTGGTGGTCACAAATGATTTGATTGGTTGTGACCAATAAATATGTTGGTGTGTGACCAATAAACAATATGTGACCAATGAAACAGATAAATTGTGACAAATACATATCGTGTGACCTACAAATTTATTAATTTGTGACCAATAATTTGGTAAATTGTGACCTAAATATAATTTTTGATCAATTAATTTGATATTTTGTGACCATAAAATAAGTCGTGACTTATAAAATTTGTGATGTATAACCAATAAATAATATGTGATTATTAATTTGATAGATTTGTGACCAATGAATAAATTGTGACCTATAAAATTTTTGCCGTAAAATAATTTGTGACATATAAAAATTGTAATTTGTAACAAATTAATAATATGTGACCAATTATTTGAAATTTGTGACCTTAATATATTTAATTAATAAAATATATTTTTTATCAATTAATTTATAAATAAAATTTAAAAAAATCTGAAATTTGAAATTTAAAACATAATCTCTTAAATTTGAAATTGGTAAAACAAAACATCTTAATTATGAAATCTTCCCCCATAAAAATCCAACCCCAAATTCCATCAAATCTAACCCAAACCAACTATCAAATCCAACCCAAACAATATATTTCTAAGGTATTTACTTTACACATTT